TTTTACTCTAAATCTGGGATAAAATCTTGCAGCTGTCAAATGAGCGGGAATAGACCATTCATTATGAAAACTGAATGTTCTATATATCAATAATCCCAGGTATTAACAATCCAATTTGAAAGCTAGAATTGTGAGAAAATACTCAACTTTCCAGGTCCAGTAGATTCGAAACTGCAGAGGTGGCCAAAGCTCAGCCAGCCCAGAGGGTGCTCAACTGACAAAACTCCTTGCTAGCGTCATACAAAAGAAGGGTTGATGTTAAATTACCATTTATTCTTTGACCTTTCAAAATAGGAAACCTGGGGAAGGCTATAACGTTCTAACTTCTGATGTAAAAATAGAGCCAGCAAAAAACTAAGACATGATCCCTACCCTCAAGGAATTTATAGTCTATTAAGGGAGAAAAGTTAAGGGCCTATAATCAAGAAGAATGTGATACATGTCATAAAAGAGACACAGTATTGTGACGTGGTCAAGAGGGTGGGCTCTAGACCCAGACTGCCTAGGTTTCATCTATGACTTTATCACCTATTAGCTACATGCAGTTGTGCAAGTTAAATTACTTTACCTTTCTCCACCTCTGTTTCTCTGTCTGTAAAATGGGAACAATAGTACCCTTTCTGAGAGGAATCTGGAGAGCAGTAAGACTTGGTGTAATTCTAAGACATTTCTTTTGGTGACTCGTTTCTATGCAATAGTGTTTGAGTGTGTGTTTAAGAGTGTTTTTAACTTATAGTGCTTGGTGTACCATTCACAGCAAATTAGAGGCCTGTGTTGAAGTCAGAATATCTAGTGTCTGCTTCCAGCCCCTCATAAACTCTCATAAACATTTCACTTCTCTATGCCTTAGGTTTCTTCTCTATTTAACTGAGAATAGGAAGTTCCACAGCAGCAGGGATCTTAGTCTTGTTCAACAGCTAGAACAGTGCCCGGCACATAGTAGATGCTGGATAAACGTCGGTGCAGCACAACTTAGGGATATTATGAAGACGGTGATACAACCAGCATGAAAGTAATTTTGAGAAGGAATCATAAGTACTACACAAAAATGAGTGGCTTTCCTTGTTTAAGATTCCCAAGAGAGATAAGAGATAAGAAATGATGTCTACCGAATTTGGAGTCAGAGGATCTTGCCTTGAGTCACAGCTCTACCACTTAAGGCTTTGTACCTTCAGATAAGTAATTTAACCTCTTTGAGCTTCATTTCATTCATCAGTATTTTTGGGTTATCACCCATGCTTTAGAATATGTTTTAGAGCTCCGAAGATCAATGAAATAAAAGCACTTGTGAACTACAAATAGTATACAAGTACAAATGTACAATGAAATGGTAACTTTTCATGTTCTACATTAGAGAACTATAAATCAAAAAAAGAAAAATTGGATTCCTATTACTCATATCTAAGGTAGTGACGATAAAGCTGTATTGTCCCCCAAACAGAGTTGATCTTCTTTAAAACACAGAGGAAAATGGATCCCCTCCCTGTCTTTTACACACAGATGAGCAGAGCTGCATGAGGGAACTTCTCTCCATCGTCACACCAACTCCCTTTCGTTGTTGCGCCTAGCTTCTACGCCAGCTCCAAAAATAGTTCCAGTCTGAAGGAAGACATGCGCTGGCCAGGACTGTTTTAAGGAATTGGCCAGCGTCCCATCAGAGGTTACAGGCCGATTTAAAAAAAAATAAGAAAATTCCTTCTCTCATTCCCCTTATCTTACATAAAATGCATGGCCAGAGTCCAATTCCTGTTTGCATTTTTCATTTGTGAAAGTTCAAAATTCAAATTTATTATTTATTATCTGTTTCTATGCTTAATGGATCTCTGCAGAAAAATCTTTCTCCAGACCCTCATTGTTTATGTTCTGAGGAAATAATATATATATTCCTTTTTGGTTATTTTTCTTTCAAATGTGTTCAGACAGCCTGTATAATTTAGTTGTAGCATTAAATTTGAATATATCTTTAAATGTAAACTTACAAACTCAAAGAAAGTACTCTTTTAGAGTACTTTCCATAATACACTAAGTCAATTACAGTATGGAAACTCATTTACTCTTGAAATTCGACTTAGCAACATTACTTAGAAGAATTTTTGCCTAAGGAGAACCTAAGAAAGATTGGGGTAGTTAATTCCATCACTCATGAGGCTTTTTGTTGTTGTTGTTATGTCTCTTTAGACTTTTAAAAAATATAATAGCTTTATTGATATATAATTCACATGCTATCCAATTCACCCATTTAAAGTGTATAATTTGAGGCCGGCCCGGAGGCACAGCGGTTGAGTGTGCGGGTTCCGCTGCCACAGCCCGGGGTTTGCAGGTTCCGCTCCTGGGCGTGCACTGACACACCGCTTGTTAGGCCATGCTGTGGAGGCGTCCCATATAAAGTAGAGGAACATGGGCATAGGTGTTAGCCCAGGGCCAATCTTCCTCAAGAAAAAAGGGGAGGATTGGCATTGGATGTTAGCTCAGGGCTAGTCCTTTTCACATACACACAAAATATATATATATATAAAATGTATAATTTAGTGAATGGGTTTTAGTATATTCAAAAAATTGTGCAACCATCACCACTATCTAATCCAAGAATATTTTTATCACCCCCAAAGGAGACCCCATACCCATTAAGCAGTTATTCTGCTGTCTCCCCTCCCCCAGAGCCTTGTAACCACTAATATGCTTTTTGACTCTATGGATTTGCCTACACTGGATATTTAATATAAATGGAACCATACAATATGTGGCCTTTGTGACTGGCTTCTTCCACTTAGTATAATGTTTCCGAGGTTCATTCATGTTGTACCATGTATCAGTACTTCATTCCTTTTAATGGTGGAATAATATGCCATTTTGTGGATATATCACATTTTGTGTATCCATTCATCTGTTCATGGACCCTTGGGTTGTTTCTGCCTCTTGGCTATCATGAATAGTGCTGCTATGAATATGAGTGCACAAATATCTCCTCTAGACCCTGCTTTCAATTCTTCTGGGTATATACCTAGGTGTAAAAGTGCTAGGTTATAAGGTAACTGTTTAACATTTTGAGGAAATGTCAGACTGTTTTCCACAGCAGCTGCACTATTTTACATTCTCACCAGCAATGCATGATGGTTCCAATTTCTCCAATTTTTTCCTCTTTTTTATCATAGCCATCCTAATGGGTGTGACATGGTATTGCATTGTGGTTTTCATTTTCATTTCCCCTATCCGGCTATTTTTTTTTAATATTTTAAATATTTTTCTAGAGGTCATTTGCCTGACAAACTTAACCTTCCCTCTAGAACATGATCCTGCATGGAACATATTGCAAAAGGGCTCTCAAACCAGTAAGAGCAGTCATAGACCTTCTGCATGAAAGCCCTGCACTTTGCCCCTTAGGCCCCTTAGTCAGTGAGTAACTAACTCTTATTCAACATCATGATTGACTATTATGTTTTCCAGAAGGGAACTGGACAATCCACTATGACAGATGTTGTGGCAGGAAGAGAAGTGACAGTGGAAGTGACAATTAGCAATCTGCCACTGAAGGAGGAGAATTATAATACTTCCCAGGACATTTATGACCCCAAGTCTTCAACCAGAAGCCAAATTTTGTTCAGTATTTTTTAAGAAGGCAAAACTACGTATAATACGTTTTAGAAAGATTTCCGTGAAGAATGACTCAGAGAAACACATGTTTTGCTCTTGAATGGATAAGCATGTGTGAATTTTCTAGATGCTTAATTTCCCAATGGTATCTGAAAAATTAGGTGACATTGAGTTTTATCTTGAATGCCAAAAGGACAAACAGAAAATTCAGATTCTGTAAAATTATTGAAGATATTGTTTAAAAAAATAAATGAAGTGTTTTCAAGAACTTTAATTCTACTTTTTTGATGAAGTTAACAGTTAGTTGATTTGTCTGATACTCAGAGCTTACGTTTGCTTTAGAAAATCCCTTTTATTTCGGTATGTGTTCATGGCAATAATGCCAGTACATTAACCTTTCATCTGTCTTCTCAGCTGAGTTCCTAGAAATTGTTGCTGGTTGACACTGGGTTAAACTGCAAACCTTAAAGCTGCACAATATTTAATGTATGATTGAGCAGTGCTTTCTGTCTCACTTATTTGTATACGCTGAAACCTCCTTCTGAGTTGTTCTAATATCCCTTCATAGAGACTGAAGCACGTTTTACATTTCCATCCCCTATCCTACTTCATTGGCAGTGGGTCCCCAGCTAGTTATATCATGACTTTTTTATGTGAACATCAACAATTACATTTCAAATACGCACACAGAGTTACCTCTTGGAGCAACTTACATTTTCTTAGCAATTTCTGTATTCTGGATTTTGAGAGCAGAAACTCAAGCCTTCAATCAGATCATAGAAAGCTAGTTTAAAGACAGGTCTTTGGTAGCCTCTAAAAACTGGAGACATGCAGGTGGATCATGACTGCATAAGGGACTGTCATGTCAAGCTCTGGCATTTTCTGTGCAGTAGACCCCAAAATGAATTTCTGCCCCTAAACAGATCAAATGAAGCAATCTTTTTTTTGAGTTGGGTTGTTGCCCACTCTTGTATTGCAACAGTAAATCTAAGCTTTTGCTTCCTTTTACTATGCACAGTCCTACACTGGGAAATGCCCTTTTTATTGACAATGACTGACTGTACGACGTTGCACTGTCAGTATCTAGATGCTTCCTGTTGTAAATAGGATATGCTTACTTCTTTTCCGAATCTCGAGTTTAAAAAGAAAGCACTGTATTATAGTAGCTAATTTTATTTTTTTCTTGCAGGTTTCTGAAAAGTGCCTTTTCTGAAAACTCTGCCGCTTGGATTCCACTCTAGAGCTGTCTCTTTATAAACCCCTCTCCCTGCCACCGCCAGCCCCCTGAAACCTGGAGTGATTGTAGTTCACTCTCAGCAACTCCCTTCATTTTTTTTTTTGATTCTCAGTTTTATAGTCATTTTCCCTCCTCCTGATTTTGCAGCAACAAACAAACAAACAAACAAACAAAAAAACAACTTTACAGTTGTACCATCCTTACCAATCTCGACCTTTAAAGCCAAGAAATAGGGAGAACAACTTTTCTCCCCTTGATCTGAGACCTTTCCACAAACTGAAGGGCAGCCAGCAGCATATGCTTTTTGCGAGAATAATTGAAAACCAACTGGAGAACACAGAATTCTTTTGAATCTCTGCCAGTTATTTGAAGTAACTTCGACAGAGGAACAAAATAAAACACTCAATATTTTAACCTTTATGGTTGCCTTCTTAAAGGAGTTGGTCTCTAATTTGATTTTTAGTTATTCTGATACAATTTTTATTTTATGATTGGCTTTTTGTTTGACTAGACCAATATTGACTTAAATTTAAAACCTAAGTGCGAACAACGAAACATTTCACGAAAGCAACCTGTTATCTCTTCACATTTAGCTTGAATTCGTTTTTAACCTTTTAACAACAGCGGTAATATTGTCCTAGAGAGGGTGCACTTGATTTTAACTTTGCTTTCACTATGACGGCTGTCAACGTTACCTTGGTTCGTGATACCAAGTGGCTGACTTTAGAAGTCTGTAGAGAATTTCAGAGAGGAACCTGCTCTCGAGCTGATGCAGACTGCAAGTTTGCCCATCCGCCAAGAGTTTGCCATGTGGAAAATGGTCGTGTGGTGGCTTGTTTTGATTCTTTAAAGGTGAGCCTCATCTAAACGCACATAACGTTTAATTTAAATTTGTTGATTTCTGTTTTTTGAAATATGATGTACTTTGAAATTAGTGAAGTTAATAATAACATGAAAGCAGTAAGTTTTGTTTGTTTGTTTTTTAAGACAGGATGTAGACTTTGTGTTTGTAGAACTAAGCCAGACTAAAGCTTACCCCATCAAAGCCCACTGATCAAGATAGATAGACTTAAAGAAAAAAGTTCAAGAATTTTTGTAGCAGTGAGAAATTGCAGCCTTGCCAAACTTTACGTCTTTGTGTATGGTTTACATTTTGAATACAGTGATCATAATCCTCATAGAACCTAGAGAAGCCCTTTACCGAATTATAACTTATTAACTGTTATCAAAATACTCTTGACAGGGACCAGTGAGCTTTCAGAGAATGAATAAAGAGTATGACATGAAAATCTCACCATCCAAGAGGAAAATGATGGCATTTTAAAGTTTCTTAGTTGAAGTATATTTTGAACCTTTACCTTAAACATATTGCTACAAAACTAAGTTCACTTAATTTTCTTCCTGAACTGCTGATTGAAAACAATCTCAGTTTTGTGAGTACATTTTATAAGGAAAGTCCTATTGCCAAGGTCATCAAACCCAAATATTAGGTACTACAATATAAACAAAAGGGGAGGGCAGATGAGATATTATGTAGAATAGAACATATATGATTGCAGAACAAGAAAATGCACTGATTGTCATGTTTTATTCATAGTTATCCTTAAATTAAGGATATAGATGTACAAATTAAAGCATGAAGTAAAAAAATGATAGTAGATTCCAGGTTTAATTAATAAGATTTGCTACGAGACATTCGAGATTTTTTTTCAAAATATGTCAAAATGAATTAATCTTAATACGAACCTTTTCAATTTCTTGATATTGTTTTGTTCTCATCATGACCAATTTTACTTCATTAACATTTTTATTTATGGCTGCATTGTCTAATAGGCATGTATTCCTTCATGTGATCATTTCTTCAGAAAAACATTTTATCAAGTGGTATCCTACTTAAGTAGTTACTTTTACTAATTTTGTGTTACTAGTTTTTGTTGCACACCATTCCAGTTCAAGAAGGGAAACTATCATAAAGATAATGGTAATTCCTTCCATTGAAAATGTCGGAATTGCTCTTATTTGCAGCAGATATTATGACTTAAAGGGGTTATTTTGTTTTCTTCATTTCAGTATCATTCAAGTTTCATCTACAAGTATTCTGTGTATTATTTAAACCTACTGCTGCAGGACTGGGCAGTGCTGTGAAGTGGAAAAGAGCACTGAGCTAGTTGGGGAAAACAAGGAGATGTCTTTCATCCAGTCCATATAGAGGGTCCAGCACTGCACTAGGAACTTTCCATATGTTGTTTCAGAAGATCTGGGGTACAGTCCCAGCCCCACTACTGTATCTGACCAGTGGCTACTTAATCTGACAAAGCTTGAGTTACTTTATCTCTAATAGATGGATGATTCTTCTCTACCTAACTTCCACGATTATTGTGAAGATTCCAATGAGATAACATAAATGAAAAACCATGTATCACTATAAAAGTGAATTAAATGAAAGATTATTTTCTTACTATTAACTAAGATGTTTGTTTTAGAAGTTCTTCAAAATGGTTCTATTTAGTTAGGGTTTATTATTTAAAACTACAAACGAATGTTCCAAATGGACATGCCCAAATCCAGTTGCCATGAGTCTGATATTAGTTCTTCAAGCTAATTATTACTGTTTTATGGTTTACTTTTTGACATAGAGTTCCTTGCAGGCTTTGTAAATTCTATCTTTCCAGGCATCTGGTAGAAGGAGATGTGTGATCGTCCTAATCATTGGTATGCTTTGATCAGTTCTCCCATTTAAAGGCAAAAGAGTGCCATAAAGGAAACATTTTGAAGAAAAGTAATACGGAAAGCGATTGTTAACAAAATGCATAAATGCATACTGCACTACCACTTTAAAGCTTGGAAAATGTTTAATTCAGAGACTACATGGATAATGGCCAATGAATATTAATAAGCCACTTAATTATTTAAATACACTGTCTACTCACTGCATCCAGTGCTTTTAAAATAATTTTTGCATTACATTAATGTCTTGATGACCAGTCACATAGGACAAAGACGATTTACATAATCCCTACATTCTCAAATTTTAATGAAAAATTTAATATTTGAAATATACAAAGACTTTCAAACAGTTAATTAATTTGCCATTTAGATAGCACATTCATCACAGTTCCATGTCTGCACAAAAGCTTTGTCGTTCTTTTCTGTTATATTATTCCTAATCCCTGATATGCATGAAAGCTATAGTAAGTTGAGGGTAATTGACCTATGTTGATTGTACTACTATTATAACTATAATACACAAATAACATCCCTCAATAATTATTACAGCATTTGCTACCCCCCTCGAGTTTGTATAATTGAAACACCTTTGAAATGCGTCTGTGCACCATTTCTTCCATGAGTCGTTAAATAACTGAAGCAATAATCTGATGAGTTTTGGGCTGCTGCTTTTGTTTTTCGGTTTTTGTTTTTGTAAGGTTTCCATTAGCACTAGGTACTCTACCAGATGATGATGGTTCTTTGCCTTCATAATAGGCACAATAGATACAATGTTCTATCTCACCTCATAATGAGGGGATGCTATGAAAATAAGGAGGTCAAGCTTGATGACTAATTGTGTATTGTGCTGAAGTGCTGTGCCCATCACTCCATGAATGTTGAGTGTTCAGTGATGAAGTTTGTACCATTTTCAGATTGAGATCTAGACAGTACAGCCCATAGATTAATTTCCAGCTACATAAAAGATTCACATGTCATGTTTATATGCAGCTGTTTTTTTTCTCAATTGTCTAGTCTGGTTGGCACAATTTATTTCAAAATTTCTCTCCAAAGTATTGCTTAACCCATTCTGTGCCAATTTCTTGATATTACAGTTTGCCAGTGATCTAGGTTGGTACTTTTAGTTAAGGTCCCTTAGATTTTAACAAAAGATCATCATTAAAAATTCCAACCTAGAATCTTTGTGATTGTTTCCATAGCCAAGATTGTTATGTTCACGTATTCTGCTTCAACAATGTCATGTCTTGAACCTTCCCCTCTATACTCGAAGCAGTGTGATATCAGACACATGTTATCCAGGAAGAATATAAATGCTGTCATTATTTTTCATTATGACAGATCAACACCCATCCCATCTGCCTACCTCACTCACCACTTGGGGTAGTTTTGTAATAAAAATTTCTTGGCAAAGGACTTAGCAACAGGCATAGTCAGAGGACGGTCATGTCAACCCAATATATATTTTAGGAATGTACATTCTTAAAAGATGGAAACTGGGTGAGGAACACACATAAACTGGCCCTACACTATTTCTTGAAACATCACATATGATCACAAGCATAATAATATTTTGACAAGTAAAGCCTGTTGTGTGCCAGGCATATGTATGTGAATCTATTCTTGTAGGTCAAATTGTCCTGAGGTACCAGTATATTCTGTACTAGTATCACTAGTCACAGTAGTTTTCACTAGTTTAAAATTTGAGTATTTTTGGCTGAATATTTATCCCATCCCTACTTGCTAAGGGAAAACTTAGCAGGAGCATAAGACTCCGAGCAACATATTCCCAAGGGTTTCTGGATTATGCAAGATTTAGAACCATTTATGAGCTCCATGAGAGAGGTCTACCTGCACTATAAAGACACATGGGCAGCATCTGTCATCCTGAGATTCAAGGAAAATAACATGTTACTTAAGGATATCTATCTTCTATGATACTGACCTTAAAAGGGAAGTATCTTTGGCTAAAGTCAATGCTGTTTTGGGCATTTCAAAAACCTCTTTTGAAAGAAAAATGAAATTACAATTAGTACCTAATCAAATACATATTTATAGCTGAACTTCACTTTTTAAACTTTTTATTTTGACATAATTTTAGACTTACAGAAAAGTTGCAAAAATAGTACAGAGAGTTCCTGCCTACCCTTCACTCAGCTTCCTGTAATGTCAACAACTTACATACCATACATAGCACAGTTATCTAAACCAGGAAATTAACTCTAGTACACTACTATTGAGTAAACTAGAGATCTTATTTGAATTTCACCAATTTTCCCCCTCATGTCCTTTCTCTGTTCCAGGATCCAATCCAGGATCCCACATTGTATTCACTTGTAATGTCCCCTCAGTCTCCTGCAATCTGTGACAGTTCCTCAGTCTTTCCTTATCTTTCATGACCTTGACATTTTGGATGAGTACTGGTCAGTTATTTTGTAGAATGCCTCTCAATTTGGGTTTGTTGAATGCTTTCTCATGATTTGATTGAGGTCATACATTTTTTGCAAGAAAATCACAGAAATGATGTGCATCATATCTGAGAGTACACGATGTTGGTGTATCTTATCACTCATGTTAACCTTAATCACTTGATTAAGATGGTGTCTGCTGGGTTTCTCTGCTGTAAAGTGATCAGTTTTCCTTTTGTGAAAATTGATAAATACCTTCCTTTATTTATTATCTCCTACAACATACCATTGATCGTAAGGGGCATCCCAGTATCCAAGATGTCAAAATGTGAACAAGTGTCCATCTTAGAAGTGATGGCTGATGCACTTCTGTACTTATGGTCAATCAAGAAGGGTAGGGAGGGGAAAATAGACCCAGGGCATGACAGAGAAAGTAATAGCAACAGGCCTCCACAAAGAACACAGGAGAATGGAAAGCCCAAGAAGTTTTGTGATATACATGTCCCTGTCACATGCTCCTGTGGGATGGCCCCTGTGCTGGAGTCAGTGCCTCTGGCTACCTCTAACTTATTCTCTGCCTCGGGAAACAGATTTTCTATCTTTGTTTTCACAATGGATAACATTTCCCTTCAATTTTAAAAGTTATGCATCTTTATGAAGGGAAAGGAAAATACAAGAAATTTTAAAATCTTACACAAGAAGATAAGAATAAAAATTAAA